AAAAATTGTATGACTGCATTACGTGTAACAGCATTCTGCTGACTTATTGGCAGGTTATACCTTCCGCTGCTTATTTGCAGGTATCAGATGAGTGAGAGCGAAGTGCAGCTGGAAGGTGAACCAATGACATAACATAGTTTAGTATTTCGTTCGAAATGTCATGAATTATTCATCAGAGCACCATGATGCTCCTATAATTCTTATAATTCTTAATTCGAATTTATCGCCTGACTGCATTATAACATTGTCGAGTCAAATTTATGAAATTTAACAGCAACAGTTCACAGATGAGAAAGATCGTTTTTAATTTTAATATTCTGTTCTGTGCTCTCCTTACTGCTAAGGTCTCGAGATAAGCATAACAGTGAAAAATGACCTTCCGCTTGCTGTACTCTTTTGTGATGAGGAAGACAGTAGATGAATGAATAACAGATTACACCTTTATACTATTTTTCTGAATCAGATCTTGTTAAAAGAAGCTGGTTCTTTGTCGAAGCATTTGATGTTTAAACTACTCCGAAGAATCATCTCCTCCATGTCGGACATCATCAGTCTAGGGCAAGCGGTGGTGTCAAGTTCAACAAATTCCAGATGACAATGACAAACGATTTTCTTCAGAAATATAACGGAGCTGATTCCGAATGCTAATTCTTCCATCCACTTTGTGAACCAAAACAATTGCTCCTCTACGGACAAATTCCTTAAAAGCATAAGATGTGTCATTCTTTACTTACCGCCGTCTGCTCAGAGGAAGGTTTTCGAGTTCTTCACAACGTTTTTACATTACCGGTACTTTTCACGCGAATTTGATTTTGAACTATACTTACTTTCACAGTTACTCGTCCCCCCTCGAGGCGAATGCGGAGTTAAAGATGACCCTAAACGTTTTATGGAGCAGTTACATCTAATGCTAAAATACCCACGCATATCTACAAGAGTTTCGCAGGTTTTGCCATTCGTAAAGTGGTAGTATTCAAAGTTGCCAAGCGGAATAAAACGTAAGCAACGGCGAACTACGACAAAAGTATGTTCATATACACGAAAATGCTTTAAAAACTACATTTTTCACCTTACATACTTTAAATCAATTTATGAATTATTCTATACCGTAGACAGGACGTAAACGTCGCTCTGTGACGAAATCGGAAACAGCTTTCGGGGTCGCCA